CTCGTTCTGTTCCTTCCTCTCCTACTCGTCCTATTTATCATGTTCCTTCTCCTCCTCCTCCTCCTCCTCCTCCTCCTCCTCGTCGCTCTATTTTTCCCGTCACCTTCCTGTTTTTCCTCTTCCATTGCCAGACCTCTCCGGCCTACCCCCACCCCAGGCCTCCTCCTACCCCGCCCCCCCCCAGGCCAGACCTCTCCGGCCGACCCCTTCCCCCCCAGGCCCCTCAGGGGGGGGAACCCCCCCCCCCCCCCCTTGCGGGGGAAACAAAAAAAGACCCAGGGGAAACAAAAAAAAACCCAGGGGAAAAAAAAAACATTTCCCCGCCCCTGAGGGGGGGGAAAAAAAAACCAGGGGAAACAAAAAAAAACATTCCCCCCATGCCAGGGGAAACAAAAAAAGACCCAGGGGGGGGAAAAAAAAAAACCCGCCCCCCCCCAAACCGACACACCAGGGGGAAAAAAAAACGCAGGGGGGGGGAAAAAACAAATCAGCCCAATCGATGAGCATGTACTCGAACCGCATGCCTGGGAAATTGAAAATCTCACCCTTGAACCCACTGCGAAGCATGCACATGAAGAGAGATTTGTCATCATCCTACTCTTGCCCTCTCCAAAGGGCATGGCGGTCAGCTCTGCGGAAATCAAGGTCGGCCTTGTTATTTGCGGGACATCGCCGGCACGCGCGGCCGCGCCTCCCTTCCCCTTTCCACCCCGATGTCCCAAAGCCTTGTTTGCACCAGGCCCAGTCTCCCTGTATCTAAATGCGCGCGGCCTTGCAATTCAAATCGCAGCCCGCCTGGTGCATCCGATCTCTGTCGCCAACACCTGAGCTCCTGTTAAACGGAATCTGGTCGCGGCGCACGTTTGGAAAATGCCCATCTGCCAGCGCGCGGAGGCTCCACCCCATCACTCGCCACGCCCCTTCGAACGTGCGACGGTGGTAGCAGCCGCACTGGCACGCGTGCCTTGGAAGGTGTTGCCAGACAAATCTGTCGCTGAATTTTTGGACGCCCAAAATTGGGCACTGACAAAACGAGTACGATGCCTAACAACAAATGTTGTCCCAAACCAACAGCGGCCGCTGTTGGGCAGGCTGCCTCCTGTCCCAAATGGACACAGGCCGCGGCTGCGCGGACAGCGAATCACGTTCAAATTGAACAAGAACTGCTGTTGGGCATCGTGCACATTCTTTCCGTGCCGATTTCGGGCGCCCAGAGATTTGGTTTACCTGCGCCCTCTGTCCTACCCCATCGGCTTCCAGTCAGCCGCCAGCTTCTCACCCTGCACCCTCATGTGCTTTCCGTCGCGACACTGCTGGGGCATTGGATGCATTGAGTTGCGTTGCGTTTGCTTGACCCGCTGAGGTGCAGTTCATCTGTTCTCACGCATCGCGATTCGTTCCATAATATGTACTGTTTTCTGAAATATGCTGTTTTTTTTCTGTATTATGTAGTATGTTCTGTAATAAGTAAGTGTTTCTGTAACCTGTCATTGTTGTAGCATTGGTTTGCATGTGCTTGCACTGCATTTGCAGCGTTGTCTGTTATCAGTAACGACTTCTGCAAAATGAGGTTTATTGCGTCTAATCACTTGCGTTATTGCATATCTTTCTTCCCTCTGAGCCCTCCCACCTCCCACCCGTCCCCCAGGCGACGACAGGGGGCGACTCCAGCTGCGCCGGCCCCGACGGCAGCGCGGGCCGAAGGGACGTGGCATCGATGATAGTTCTGATGAGCTGCGATATTCCAAGGCATCGTTTTGGGAAGCAGCAAAACCAATGCCGCCGATGCCGATCTTTGCCTGACAACACCTGTCACGTGAGAAGATTGACGCTGTCTCGCTTCGAGTACGGGGCGCTATCACCCCAAAGCCCAATATTTGCCAACTGTTCGGTTGTCGCATCCCGAGGTGGCTCGAGCGTTTCGCCCCGCTCTTTCAGGACATCGTTCAGCGGGCTGACCCCGGGGGCAAAAGTACACCATTGTAGCATCTCGCGCGGTGTAGCATCTCGTGTGGTAACAGAAGATTCGTCAACATCGTGGCCTTTCGATTTCTCAGGGGGGCCCATGAGGGCAACACCGCTCGGTAGACTGGTGGGAGATCGAATTTGCCCAGCCGCCCCATCAGCCCCCATAGGCATTGCCCCCTTTCTGGGCCGAGCCCCAATCTTGGACAAGGCGAGGCGCCTCGGTGGGTGCATCGTTGCAAAATCCCTGCGACGCTTCTACTACATCAGTAGCGCTGAACCCATGTTTGGCAAATTTCCTCTTCTGGAATTGCCCTGCATGGCAGCATTCCGCGCTAGCACACCTGTCGGAGAATGCCTCCTAGCAGTATCCATTTTCGGGGCGATGCAACTTGAAAGCGCATCCAGCATTTCGGCCCCCCCTTCGCCCCACGCCCCCACCACCGTCGCCCCCCCATCGAATCCCCACCCCCCCGCCCGCATTCTGGACCCAGAGCCCAAACAAAAAAAAGAAGGCTCATTCCCGTGGCATCGCCCCGGCAAAGGATTTGTTGCCGATTGAGTCCGAGAAGAGCTTCTTGCGAATGCCGCTAACCTCACGCGCGATCTGCAATGCCTCGGGCCTGAAATAAAGCTCGCAAGGCCAGTCGGCGGGGGAGGGGGGGGAGGGGGGCGGGAGGAGCGAGAAGTGGGGAGATGGCAGGACGGACTTACATCGGAAATCTGAAGACCTCAGATCATAGATACTTCACGCGTTCACGGGGGAGTCGGGTTCCACGGGGCCCTGGCTCCATCGGCTGGGGGTGCCTGCCGTCTACCCAAGGGGCGCTCCATGCATTGCTGGTTTTTGTCCTCACGCGTGAACCTCACGGGGCGGCGAGGAGCCCGTCGCGCCCTGCGCAGCCCTCGGGGGTGAACTTCAACCCCTGGAGTCATGTGGGTCATTCGAGCGTTCATCTGAAATCAAATATCAATGGTTACTCTGTCCACGAAGCTTCATCGGGGGACGTTTCGAAACAATGCTCTGCCCACTAATTGGATTGTTTTTTTCTGGCAATCGTGGGAACGGAGGCAGAGCCAGAAAATCAGCCAGGGGCATTCTGGACATCACATCCCTGCCTCATCCACCCCTCGCTTGGTCGTCTTCGTTTTCGTCGGCGGCGCGCCTCCCTCCCCGACCAACCAGTCTCAAGATAACTTGAAACTGCGCGCAGCACGTCGCGCGCTGCGCCTAGCGGCTAGGCAGATGGCGACGGGCCCAACGCTGCGCCACGCAGCTCAAGACGAATCCTTCATCTTGCGCATCTGGTCCAACGTCGTCGATTTCTTGAAAGTGTTGAACTTTATAGTTTCCTTCTCGAGGTCAGTTTTGAGCTTGTTGGGCATGGTGGTGTAGACCTGCGGGTCGTTCGAAGACCGGCCCTTGACCGACTTTGCCTCCGCGTAGATGCCGCTGGCGAATTTCTCCATGCTGAGTCGGTGCTGGCCCCCCTGCTCTGCGAGGTAGTCGCCCATCGATGGCGGGGTGCCCTTCCTCTGAAGTTCCAGCCGGTACCCTGGGGCCCCCCTCATCTCGTCGCCCACGTTTCGGGCCCACGCTTTTGCTGTCTTGATCTGCTCGTCGAGAAGTTCCTCGGCCTCGTCGACCTTTGCCTTCATCGGGCTCTGCTCTGCCTCCTGCTTCTCCTCCTCGGTCTTGGCTGCGGCCCGCTCATTCCTCTCACGGTCCATCTGCCCCTTCTCGGGTTCCCCTGCCGCGCCGTCAGAAAAGGGCAAGGCGCTGGAGATCGCCCGGCCCATTATGGCGCCCTGGATCTGCCTGCAGGCATCTGCGTCGACGTCCACACTCGAACTCACGCTCGAAGAGTTGTCCTTGAACTGGATATCCCTGAGGATCTCCTTCGAGAACTTGAACTCCTTCACGCCCGCCCCCGCCAGCAGACCGTTGCGATGCGGTCTGCAGTCCGAAGACTTTATGATGATAGATGCATGCAGCGGCGAATTGAAGTACATTGACCCTCCGAGCTGCTCCTCTGTCAGCCACTCGGCGAGGCTCTCCGACTCGCCCCTGCCGCCGACGGTGGTGTCTTGCCCTGCGGTGCAGACGCCGCTTATTGGGACAATGATGAATATGGTCAACCACTCTCGCTTGCGCTCGGTGGAAGCGCTGCCTGCGGCACCTTTCACGTACATAGCGCGCAGCATAGGACATTTGGTCTTTCAAGTCGTTCCCAATGAGCTGAGCAGGCTCTCGAGCGAGTCATCATCAAAAACATCAGTCAGCTTGTCCGCGGTCATATCCGCGAGCTTGGAGATGCAGGCTTTCTTCAGCGAGCCCCTCGCCGCAAACACGGGTTTCGGGGCCTTCATGCCCGTGAGCTTCGAGTTCACTCAGCTCACCAGCCGTGATCTCGGCCTTGACAGGGCACAGCTCGACGGGCGGGGCTGCCGCGCTCTTGCTCGCTGTCGGCGCCGTGCTTTTGGCCACGAGCAGGGTCTTGGCCTTGGGCGCGGCCTGCTTATCTTCCTTCTCCTCGTCTGCGGGTGGCTCGACTGGCGCAGCCATTGCCTTGCCCTCGGCGGGCTCCGGCGCCTGTCCCTCTGCTTTTGCCATAGCTTCTCCCTTCGGTTGTGGCTTGGCTGCCGGCGGAGCGTCGCTGCTGTCGTCACCTTGGTCCGTTCTCTTTGGCGGGCACGCACTGCTGGCCGTGGCAGCCGGCCTTTTGCGGGCACTGGCGGGCGACTCGGCACCTGCCATCGCCGCGGGCAAGCCGCCATCAGCGCCCGAGCGCGGCATGAGTCCGACTGCTCGCTCAGCGGAGCAAGCGAGATCGAGAACTGTTTCGGCAGAACTCGAACCAAAACAGCTATGCCACGGAGGAACCAGCATCTGGCACATCTCGTCCATCGCCGCGTCCGTTGGCCCGAACTACAAAAGATTGTTTTGTTGTTGTTCTTTTGTTTTTGGTAATTTTAAAACATAAAAAAGTCGTGTCGGTTTCTGTAGTGCTTTCTGCGTTATGTAGTTATTCCAGTTTTTTGGGGGGCATGCTTCAAATGTCAATGATAGCCATATATGTATATATATGTATAAAGATATACACAAATATTGGTTTTCATCAACTACAGAATACAGAAAATTACAGAATACAAAAAAACACATATTACAACGTTGCCTCAGAAAACTCGATCGCGCTGGAATTCAACCTTCCTGGGGGACCCGTGCTCTCCAGGGATTCAACGATCACGTGCGCTTGCGGGTTTGTCCAACTCCGAACTCCCGCGCCCCCGGAGGCCCCTGCACTCCGCCCCCCCGAAGAGAGGCTTCCCTCCCAAGAGCGGGGCGCCCTTCATAATTCTGGAAACGCACGGGGCGGGCGACGGGCCCGAACGGACATCTCGGCGACGAGGGGGGGCACGGGGGCACGAACAAATCGGGGGCCACAGCAAAAAAAAACATCGGCGGTCCCCCCCCCCCATTCTATGCGATACCTAATGTTGTCGCTCGAACTTGCCCACTGTTGAAGGGGGTTTGGGGAATCTTGCGGAAGACCTGCGTTCCCCGGGATCGGTGGCTCCCATAGAAATTCAACATGCATCCAACACGAGCTGACGGCCTCATAGAACATCTGAAGGATAGTTCTGATGAGCAGGATTCAAATTGAAAGCGTTTGGAGTTGGGGCGGCAACAGGAGAGACAAGGGGAGTGAGCGTTGAGATGGCGATGGATGACGATGCGTTAGATCTGGCAGAGCAGCAGCGGTACCAGTTGGAACCTCAGAGCAAGCAAACAACATAGGATCAGCTCTGACGGCTACGCACTATAATGTGCGAGCCAACGCTCTTTCGATGTCCTGCACAAGGTCCTGACCCATTCAACCGCATTGGGTGGACCTTTGAGAGGTCCGCGCATTGCAGAAACGACTTGAGCACATCTGTCATGATATGTTATGTGATCTTTGTAGGGTGCGGAGACTCGCTGGTGCTGACCTGCATCACTTGCGCCTTGTCGGATGGGCTCAGCACGAGAAGCGTCGACGAACAGTGGTGGCCAGCTGCGACCCTGATCCGACAGTCGCCCCCCGTGCCCCCACCGGATTTGGAAGGCGCCGCCACGTCACCCGAAGCGGCAAGTTTCACGCGGTCGGCGAATGGCGGCGCGTCGCCGCCTTCGCTCGACGACTGAATTATGGCTAACGCAAGCTCTGAGCAGGCTGGCCGCTTGCCCACGGCAGCGCACGAGGGCCTCTTAAAAACAACGCCAGGCGCCTCGCCAGCGCACGCAGGCATCTCGACGACCACAGCGCAAGCAAGCTTCTTGACGGCGGCATGCCTGGCGGTTTTCTTCGGAACTGGCAGCGGCAGCGGCGTGCGATGATTGATCTTGCAAGCCCAAACGCGCACGAGAGATGCTCGTGGATGGGGGGGGGGGGGGGCAGGGCCGCAGCGAGCAGCGGTGTTTCAGGTGCAACGCCCAGGGGCCTCAGGAGGCTGAAGGGTCACGCAGGGCCTTTACGGACGACGCAACAACCCCAGCTGCCACTCACGCGCCAGGCACAATTGGCGCCTGTAAACCAGCAACAAAATTGGCGATGGCGCGGAAGGGGGGGGGGGGGGCATCTGGCAGCAGAAGGCTGGCGATAAAGTTGAGAAGCAGCAGCGGCGGCTGGAGAGGGGAGGGCGACCGCGCCCCCGCGCCCCCCCCCCTCCGCCCCCCCCCCCCCGCCGGCAGGACAACGACGCCAGCTTGCTGGCAACCACGACGGCGCCACAGATGGCATGCGACGGGGACGAGCACATGTGAGTGGCATCACGGCGCTGGGGGGGGGGGAAGACGGCGCGCGCGGGGGGGGGGGGGGGGGGGGGGGGCGCGCGGGGGGGCGGGTTGCGGGCGAGGGGGGCGGCATCGACGAACCACCTCGCGAATGCGTCGCCCCCCTCCTCCGAACGCCCCCGCTTCACCTTTGAGATCGCCCTTGATAGCGATGCCGCTGGGCATCCGCTTGAACACTTGCCCACCTGCGAGTTCGTAGTACACCGTAATTTCGTCTCCAGAAGATACATCGAGAACCTCAGCACGACTACGTTCGCCATCTGGTTCTTGATCCCTGAAGGATGGAAACGGGCTCACGGGTGTCTTGGCTCTCTGTGGGGGCCCGCCAACGGCCGAGAGCTCGCATTCAATCATACCGTAAATATATATCAAATCTGTCGGGCGCTCGAGCGCATGCCCCCTCGCAAAAATCACTCCCTGGTTCATGGTGCCAACCTGGTACTTATCAAAACTCAGTCGGATGTGGGCGAACATAACTCTGCATGGGTATGCGACCAATGCCACGACGTCAGCTGGTGGCTTTAACAGCTTCCGAGATAGCTTCACCAACTCTTTCTGGTTTGGGCCATCACGGACAAGCCGTGCAACTGCTGAGTCCATATCAGATTGCGCAAAATGGACCCTTCGGTGGACCTTTCTATGGGGTCGCGAACCGTGAGAAGGGGTGTGCTGAAACTGCGCAGCGGTGCCATGTGGACCCTGCCACTGGGGCATTCGGTGGAGCTTCCTCTGGGGCCGCGAACGGTGCGAGGGGTGCTGAAACTGGGCGGCGGTGTCATGCGGACCCTGCCATTGGGGCCTTCGGTGGGACTTTTATGGGGCCACGATCCGTGTGAGGGGTGTGCCGAAATGGCTCGGCTGCGGTGCCATGCGGCCCCTGCGGCTGGGGCCTTCGGTGAAACTCCCAATGGGGCCACGAACCGTGCGAGGGGTGTGCCGACATGGGGCGGCGGTGCCATGCGGACCCTGCCACTGGGGCCTTCGGTGATGAAACTCCCGATGGGGTCACGAGCCGTGTCAGGGGTGTGCCGAAATTGGGCTGCGGTGCCATGCGGACCCTGCCATTGGGGCTTTCGGTGGAGCTCCCTAGGGGGCCACGATCCATGCGAAAGGTGTGCCGACATGGGGCGGCGGTGCCATGCGGACCCTGCCATTGGGGCCTTGTTTAGCTGTGATCAAAGCCCGCGCGGCACGAGCTCAGGTTCAAGGCTGCACGCAGCAACCCCTGGAAGATCGTTCCCCCACCTCGGCGCGGCAACTCCTCTTTGAGCGACCGCGGGCCTGCAAACAGGCGGTGGCCCGACTCCACCGAAGGGAGTCAAACTTGTTGAAACGACTGTGCGCGGCGCTCAAGCGATAACTAGATCTTGAAAACGAGCCGCCCTCAGTCCGAAAAAAATCCAGCGTATTCAAATCGAATGTGCGCGGCGCTGAGGCGAGAACCACATTATCAAGACGAGCCGCCATCCATCCGCGAACCTCTTGCAAATGTTTGAAACGAATGCGCGCGGAACTCGGCCGAGAGGCACATTTTGAAAACGAGCCGCCTTCAACCCGTGAAGCGTTTGCAACGTTTTCAGAACGAATGTGCGCGGCGCTGAGGCGAGAGCCACATTTGAAAACGAGCCGCCCTCCATCCGTGAAGCCCTTGCATTTTTTGAAACAAATGCGCGCGGCGCTCGGGCGAAAACTATATTTTGAAAACGATCCACCCTCCATCCGTGAACCTCCTGCAAGTTGTTGAAACGAATCTGCGCGACGCTAAGGCGGGAGCCAGCAACCGCTCTCCATCCGTGAAGTTCTTGCAAGCTTTGGAAGCGAATGCGCGCGGCGCTAAGGCGATAGCCACATCATCCTTCCGGTGCGGGGATAACGCTTCTGGGTGCGGGAAGCGTTATCGGGAAGGGGAAGACTCTTAAATACCGGATGAGGTTACCAGAGACAGCTGTGCATCAATGCGTGCGCAATCACATCTGCACACATCATGTGATCGAGGTCCGTCGGCGAAGGCGGCATTGGATCTGCACACACCGCTTGGTCTAGATGCGCTGCAGAGCTCGACGGCTGACACGCCTGTCTGTTTATGCCGACGGCGCGCGCTGCGGCGAACGCCTCCTCGTGCCAAGAGCCCGTGGGATTGGACTCGATGCATGATGGGAGGTAGAGCGCAACGGAACCGACGACACCAAATGCACTCAAGGGAAGCAGCGATTCGGCACATAACGTGATGAGCTCACGAACGAGAGGCATGGATTGGAGCCAGAAAACCCCATTGTGTCGATCATCCAGATCAGTTCCGCTACCTTGACGGTACATTTCCACTTATTCTCCTCCAGCCCCCTCCCCGATCCAGAGTGTTACGACCTGTGCGACAGGGGGGCCTGGGGGATCACAAGAGACAGCCAATCCAAAGACCAACAGGCCCAGAAGCTGTGCATCCGCGCCGACTCCGATTACCACGGGGGGAGCTCAGAAGTCAAAGAGGTTATTAGAGACTGTGGGAAAGCTCTTCCTCGGTGACGTCTGAGGCAAGGTGATGTGTGCACAGGAGGGGGGTGAAGCTCCCTCAGGATCTTTCGAGGTGGTGCAGTTGTTGGTCTCCGTCGGCGTTGAGGAAGGATCGGGGAGGTGGGATGCCCTCCTACGCAATAGACATGTACAAGGCATGATTCGACGGATGAGATGAAGCTTTATTTCCGTGGGCCTGGATTCGTGTAGCTTGTGCCCAAGTATTGGGACCTCGGGCATTGCTGCAGGTGCTGCTTGGGTCAGCTTCCCAGGCGTCTTGGATCAAGATCGTCAGGATAGTGTCTGGGCCTCTCTTACTGTTCAGTTGAAGGAATTATGACCCGAACTGAATAGTTTGTTATTATTGCGGGATCGCCTGACTCCCCGATCTCATAACACAGTGATAATAACCAGTCGAAAAGCAAGTTTACACCAAACCTTAGTTCAAACAGCACTTGCTGCTAAACTTAAAAACGAAGACGGTCCTGGGCATTCACGGCGACCATTCGATAATAAACGGGTGTCAACCGAACACAACGAAACGAACTCCACCCACAACGTTCAAAACGAAACCAACATAATGATCAACTTCTAGGTTGGTAAGCAAGAACTGAACTGACGCTCGGGCTGAGGGCTAGGGCTAGGGCTGTGGCCGAGACTGCGGGGCTGTGGTAGCTCCAACCTCCATCCTGCCACCTCAGCAGTTTTGTAAAAATAGGCCGCTACCTGAAAGCAGCACTCGTGCGTCGCAAGCAGTGCCGTGTCACAAAACCTGAGGCCGACTGACAGCCAAGTGCCAAGGGTGACGACGCCGTCGGGGTGGAAGAAAGAGAAATACTTGGTGGGCCTGTCTTACAACACCACCACCTACGAGGGGGAGGGGGCCCTCCTCCTCCTCCTCCTCTTCTTCTTCCTCCTCCTCATCCTCCACCTCCTTCCCCCTCCACTTTGTGGTGGTGGTGGTGCTGGGAAGCAGGCCCATCAGTAGCAGGAGGAGCGGAAGGGGGCCCCAGACACTGAGACAAGAAACAGGCGGGCCCGGAGGGAAGCGGAGGTCCTGGCCCTTGGGGCCCTCGCCCCGAGCCAGCTTTGTCGTCCCGAGGCGTGTCCTGGGACAGTCCCGGGGGGCACGCGGGAGGCCCAGGGAACCCGAAGCCCTCAGGACCCGTTTCCCTCAAGACCCGTCCTCCTCCCCCTCCTCCTCCCCCCTCCTCGTCCCCCCTCCTCGTCCTCCTCCTCCTCCTCCTCCTCCTCCTCCTCCTCCTCCTCCTCCTCCTCCTCCTCCTCCTCCTCCTCCTCCTCCTCCTCCTCTTCCTTAGGGGGCCACATATGAACCCTACTCCTACCCCCCACGATTTCTGAGGGGGAGGGCGGAGTTCACTTCGGTCGCTCTGCCAGCCCGCGGCCAGGAGAGACGGGCGCTGGCACAAGCAAGCGGAGGCGGCTGGGCAATCGGGAGATCAGCATGCCACCAGGCGTGCCGTTGCCGGGTTTCTCGCCGTGGGCAAGCCTCGCAGGGATCCTGGCACGACCGCCCGGCAACATGGGAGGAAGACAGAAGAGAGAGAGAGAGGCGTACATACAGAAATATATACATGGCGACTCCTCAACTGGTCTGTCACTTTCTATTGGTTCTAACTTCCCCCCGCACTGGGGGCAATCCAAACACTCACTCCGTCAATGAATGGCGCCTTCAAACGTGGCGCACTTACGCCCGGGTCACCTCAAGTCAAGACATCTCGGAGCCAGGGATTCCGAGGATGTCTCAGGCGAAACGGGCCTGAGCACCTCGCGGACCACGTCTTGAAATCCAGTTGTGCGGACGTCTCGAGCGAAACGGGCCAGAGCACCTCAATTAAGGGCATCTCGCAGTAGCCCAGGGTTCGGAGGATGTCTCAGGCAAAACAGGCCTGAGTACCTCGCGATGGAACCCAGAATTGTGAGGATGTCTCAAGCGAAACGGGCCAGAGCACATCGCGAGCCGCAAATCCACAGGTGTGAGTTGCGAGGATGTCTCAAGCCAAGCGGGCCAGAGCACCTCAATTCAAGGCATCTCGAAGCCTGGGGTTCTGAGGATGTCTCAAGCGAAACGAGCCTGAGCGCCTCGTGCAACTCAAGCCAGAGTTGAGAGGACGTCTCAAGCCGAACGGCCAGAGCCACGGATTCCGAGGATGCTTCAGGCGAAACGTGCCTGAGTACCTCGCGAATCAGATCTTTGTTTTTACATCCACGGCCAATGACCACAAGTCGGGGCAGAGAGTCCGAGACCCATCCAGCGAAAGCAGGATGGGAGGGCGGACAAGCACAGAGAAATGGCATGGGTGTCTCACGCAGGAGCCTTAAAGCGGAGGCTCACTTAAGTGACCAGGCGCCTCTTGGGAACTCCCGGCAGCGACTCTGATCGGATGGACGCGAGGGACCCCGAGACGAACGCCTCACAGGGGGCGCCACGAACCTCGGCGGCCCTCGTGGACCGCAGCACAGACAGGCTGGGGGATTGGCTGCGGGATCGGACCCACGCAGCAGCCCCAAAGCGGTGGCTCAATTAAGTGGCAACCAGATGCCACCGAACATGGTGCAAACTGGCGCGAACTGCGCACAGAAGAAGCAGAGGCCCGCACAACAGACAACCACTGACAGCAATACGAACTGGCGCGAGCCCGGCACGGAAAACTCTGAACTTGCTGTTCCTTTTTCCGCTTCCGCCCCCCCCGCTCGCCCGCGACGCGACGAACGACCACTCCTGATCCCTCGAGAAAGAAACCGCTCTACCTGGAGCTCTGCCGTGCGGACATGACAGGGCAAGCCTGCGAGCGAGCAGAGCTCGCGCTCCCGCTCCTAGCATGATATAAGAGCTGGAGGGGGCCACCCGGGCCTGAGCCTCTCGCCCAGGGCCATTGCAGGCCCGAGTCATCGAAACAAACGCAAACAAAAAACACGCGTGGCGCTCCGAGCCGCCAAAGTCGCCCGCCCAGACCACGGTCCCGAGAGAGGCGGGAAATGCCCTATCTGGCCCCTCGCCCCTCCCCCAACCGTCCTTCCTGGGAGCTCTTGAGAAGCTCTCCTCCTTTTGCTCCTCTCCCTCCCCCCTCCTCCCCGTAAGCAGCATCCGCTCCAAATCGTACTCGTCCGGGCCACTCCGCCAACTGAAATGACACAGGCCATGGCCGGGCGGCACGCCGGCTGTGGTCTCTCGACCGCGGCGCTCGATCGAAGACCGCCTCAGCCGATGGATCGAGGAGTCAGGCGTGCGAGGTCGGCGAGGCCAACGTCTTGAAAGCAGTGCACCTCGAACGGCCCATCGTCCTCTCGCATCAACCCTCTGCGGCCTGTCTGCATCTGCCGCAACGACCGCATCGCTTTGGAAGCGGCGAGACTTTCGGTGGTTGACGTCCGCTGAATATCGCCCCTGTCCCTGGTGTTGCTGCACAGCTCCCTGAGGGACTCGGCGCTGCCCTGCTGTGTAATTTGCGACCTCGCCAATCCGTATTTCCACGACAAGCCTGTGAGGAACACTAGCGCAAGCAGAGCAACCACAAAACCAACTCCTAGAGGAAGGATAACAAAGTCTTCGAAAAAAACAATACAAGCACTGATCATCCACTGCCCCTGGTCATATGACGCCACATTCGCGAAGAATAAGCACGCGTAGTTGCCTGCAAGCAGACAATAGGCGGGTCCAAGTACCCAAAGAATCGCGTCGTTTCGACGCCATTTTCGGAGCTGTATGCGCCAGTCCGGGCTGCCCTCATAAGCCACGCGAACGAATTCCCGCTGATGCAAAGAATTCAGTATGGAAATCGGGACGCCAGCGATCAGCGTGCTGACCATTCCGATGGCTATTAATCGCCCGAAATGCATGTATGCACAAGTCGCACTGTCTACGCCGCTGTCAGGGTCCAGGCAATCGGACTCACACCCCTTCGGTGACTTCTTGCTCAGGGCGCCACCAGTCGCGGAGCAAAAGACGGTCGCCAACATCATGGACCCCAATAAGTCGCAGCACAGATAGAGGGCCCGCAATGAATGAGACATCGTGATGCTGCGGCAGAACACGGACCCCAACGGGCCGTGGACAAGCAGCGACAGAACCAGAGATCTGGCGAGGTGGCACCAATTCGCGTGGCGGTTGAAGTTGTACCTCTGGTGCTCGAGCACGTGGTCCCTCAGCTCCTTCAACCGCCTGAGACGTCGAGCGGCGCCCCGGGAAAAGAGCCCTGCGCCCGCAAGCGTGACTGCACTCTGCGAGGCGTTCGCCTCGCCGTCCACGTCTAAGACATGGTCGAAGCTGCCGCAGTCAAGGCTGCTTCGGCGAAATGCGTCTGCGACTGCGTCGTCCACATCGCCCGTGATCCCTTGCTTCGGCGAAATCAGCTGGTCCACGTCCTCGTTGAGCAAGACTCCCAAGTCGTCGGCAAGCAGAAAGTACGAGGCCGAAGTGCTCCGTAGGACACTCTTGGAAATGATTATGGGGGCAAGGGCGTGAAGGAAGCCGCCTTCAAACTGGCACACCATCAGCTCCTCCAAAACACTCTGGATATGCCCGAGGTATGCGAAGAACGTGCCGAGGAGGTCGTCGACCGCTTCTTTCAGACCCCCGACGACGCCTTCTGTGCAACATGCTAGGTTGCCCTGGCCGACGCCGACACCTGCTGCCAACGCGGCCATGCCCGTCGCTGGCGCCGCGGCGTTGGCGATCAGGAAATACTCTGTCTTCCAGAAACCCCGTCGGCGCTCGATCTCGTCGAGGACACAGGCGGCCGCAACCATGACGACTAAGCCTCCCAGGACGAGGAACAACAGCTGGGTGCCCACGCTGTGGTACCAGGTGCCATTCATGAGCTCAATGTAACTGTCAGCCGCGAGCAGCGAGGCCTGGGTGCACTGGAGCGTGGACAGGAACCCCGAGAGGATCGCCCCAAAGAAGGTGAGGTGCAACGTGGCGCACCAGACGCTGCCGTCTGCCGCGAAGCCGTCCGCGTAGACGCCCTCGGTGGTCCACTCGCCCGCGCCCTCGTCCAGCCACGCGCACGTCAGCCCGCTCGAGCTGGAGCTGGGCAGGGAGAAGCGGATCGGCTCGGCGAGATCCGAGACGGAGATGCGGCTGCCAGCCAGCTCGAAGAAGTTGATGCTGATCGCCGACAGCAGCTCCTGGGTAACGCCCTCGCCGGTGGTCCGCGGGCCCTCGGCGAAGGTGGCGAGGGCGCCGGGCTCGACGGTGGACGCCAACACGACCGCGTCGCGGAGGCCAAAGTCCGCGAACAAGGACAACGGAAAAACGACGCTCGCGCCGATGTCCGCCATATCGACCCTGACCGACTCGTCCGACGCATCCGTCGAAATATTCACCACACGCGCGACGCTGACGATCCCCTCCGCTGTCACCACTGCGTTGAGGCTGTTGCTCGCAAGCAGGGCAGCAAGGACGGAATCTTCCAAGCGTCCGATCGCCGCCATCGTCACCGGAGCGGCCGTGGGCGCTGGAGTCGGAGCGTCTGTCGAGTGATACACAGAGACAATAGAACCAACTGGGTATGAGTTCGTAGTTCCGTCGGCCAGAACGATCGGCCCGATGCCCGAGATTGTCCCCAATTCGCTGACGCCACCACCAGCGATCAAAATCACATCTCCGACTCTGAAGCCTAGCACGGACACCACCGCTAACTGCGTGGCGCCTGCAGCAGCGGGCAACGCCAACGTGGTCGACACAACCCCTCTCTCCGTGATGGTTGTTGCAGTCGTGGAGGAAACAGTTGCCGTCTCTGTTGTGGCAGTCACCGTTCCTGTGGTGCCAGTTCCTGTTGAGGATGAGCTCGTCGCCGTTGCCGTGCCCGTATCCGTGATGGCTGTCGCCGTCTCCATGGAGGTGCTGAATGTACTCGAAGACGAGCTCGTGGACGTCCCGGTGATGGCCGTCGTCGTCTCCGTGGTGGCGCTCACTGTCGTGGAGGAGCTGGTGGCTGTCGCCGTTGACGTGGTGGAACTGGTTCCTGTCGCCAAAGTAACAGTTGAAGTCTCTGTGGTGGAGGTGCTCGTGGCAGTCTCTGTAGTGGCAGTCTCCGTGGTCGCCGTGGTGGCCGGTGGCGTCTCCGTAATAGAACTTGTTGCCGTGGTCGAACTAGTGGCTGTCGCCATCTTCGTGGAGGTGCTGGCTGTACTAAAAGACGAACTCGTGATGGTCTCGGTGGTGGCCGTTGTCGTCTTCGAGGTGGCGCTCGCTGTCGTGGAGGAGCTGGTGGCTGTCGCCGTTCTCGTGGTGGAGCTGGTGTCTGTCGCCAAAGTAACAATTGAAGTCTCTGTGGTGGAGGTGCTCGTGGCAGTCTCTGTAGTGGCAGTCTCCGTGGTCGCCGTGGTGGCCGTTGGCGTCTCCGTGATGGAACTTGCTGCCGTGGTCGAGCTCGTGGCTGTCGCCGTCTCCGTGGAGGTGCTGGCTGTACTTAAAGACGAGGTCATAATGGTCTCGCTGGTGGCCGTCGTCGTCTCCATGGTGGCGCTCGCGGCTGTCGCCGTTCTCGTTGTAGCGGGAGAACTGATGTCCGACGCCGAAGTAACAGTTGCAGTCTCTGTGGAAGCGCTCGTGGCAGTCTCTGTAGGGGCAATCTCCGTGGTCACCGTGGTGGCCGTTGGCGTCTCCGTGATAAAACTTGTTGCCGTGGTCGAGCTCGCGGCTGTCGCCGTCTCCGTGGAGGTGCTGGCTGTACTAAAAGACGAGGTCATAATGGTCTCGCTGGTGGCCGTCGTCGTCTCCATGGTGGCGCTCGCGGCTGTCGCCGTTCTCGTGGCAGCGGGAGAACTGATGTCCGACGCCGAAGTAACAGTTGCAGTCTCTGTGGAAGCGCTCGTGGCAGTCTCTGTAGTGGCAATCTCCGTGGTCACCGTGGTGGCCGTTGGCGTCTCCGTGATAAAACTTGTTGCCGTGGTCGAGCTCGTGGCTGTCGCCGTCTCCGTGGAGGTGCTGGCTGTACTAGAAGACGAGGTCATGATGGTCTCGCTGGTGGCCGTCGTAGTCTCCGTGGTGGCGCTCGTTGTCGTGGAGGAGCTCGTGGCTGTCGCCGTTCTCGTGGTGGAGGAAGAACTGGTGCCCGACGTCGAAATAACAATTGCAATCTCTGTGGAGGTGCTCGCGGCAGTCTCTGTAGTGGCAGCCGTGGTCGCCGTGGTGGCCGTTGGCGTCTCCGTGATGGAACTTGTTGCCGTGGTCGAACTAGTGGCTGTCGCCATCTTCGTGGTGGTGCTGGCTGTACTAAAAGACGAGGTCATAATGGTCTCGCTGGTGGCCGTCGTCGTCTCCATGGTGGCGCTCGCGGCTGTCGCCGTGGCAGCGGGAGAACTGATGTCCGACGCCGAAGTAACAGTTGCAGTCTCTGTGGAAGCGCTCGTGGCAGTCTCTGTAGTGGCAATCTCCGTGGTCACCGTGGTGGCCGTTGGCGTCTCCGTGATAAAACTTGTTGCCGTGGTCGAGCTCGTGGCTGTCGCCGTCTCCGTGGAGGTGCTGGCTGTACTAAAAGACGAGGTCATGATGGTCTCGCTGGTGGCCGTCGTAGTCTCCGTGGTGGCGCTCGCTGTCGTGGAGGAGCTCGTGGCTGTCGCCGTTCTCGTGGTGGAGGAAGAACTGGTGCCCGACGTCGAAATAACAATTGCAATCTCTGTGGAGGTGCTCGCGGCAGTCTCTGTAGTGACAGTCTCCGTGGTCGCCGTGGTGGCCGTTGGCGTCTCCGTGATGGAACTTGTTGCCGTGGTCGAACTAGTGGCTGTCGCCGTCGTGCTGGTGCTGGCTGTACTAAAAGACGAGCTCGTGATGGTCTCGATGGTGGCCGACGTCGTCTCCGTGGTGGCGCTCGCTGTCGTGAAGAAGCTCGTGGCTGTCGCCGTTCTCGTGGTGGAGGAAGAACTCGTGTCCGACGTCGAAGTAGCAGTTGAAACCGTAGTCGAAGCCTCACACATGTACTCCCACACGTCGTAACCATTAGGACAATTGTTGCTATTGAAATTTGGATTCAGATCTGGCAGAGCACTGTCAGCTTCACACATCTGCCCACCCGTCATTCCGATGAAGCATTCGGGCAAGTCGCAACCAGAAACATCTTCATCAGAGCATGGGCACGACGATACAGGTGAGAACCAACAAGCCGTGTGCGGCGTCGTCGCAGTCGAAGCCTCACACATGTATTCCCACACGTCGTAACCATTAGGACAATTGTTGCTATTGAAATTTGGATTCAGATCTGGCAGAGCACTGTCAGCTTCACACATCTGCCCACCCGTCATTCCGATGAAGCATTCGGGCAAGTCGTAACCAGAAACATCTTCATCAGAGCATGGGCACGACGATACAGGTGAGAACCAACAAGCCGTGTGCGGCGTCGTCCGAGTCAAAACCCGTGTGGGGTTGCGCGTGGGGTTGCGCGTGGGGTTGGGCGTCGGGTGGGGCGTCGGTTTGGGCGTCGGATTGGGCGTGAGATTGGGCGTTTGGGGAGGTGCGGGGTACGATGTTGGCAACCCCGCCGCCGGGGGGGCGGGCCCCGAGCCGCGGACTCCAAGCGGCTGCCCCAAGCGCAAGCAGGTGGACAGCGAGATGAGCACCACCATAGCCACGCCGCGCCTGCCCATTGTCCCCTGGGCGCTCCTCGGCTTGAGCCAGGCTCGGAGTGCCAGAAGAGACGCCTCGCGAGGAGGAGAAAAACATGGGCCCAGGCAGAGGACAGCTGGAGGGTGAGGGGGGGGAAAAGATGCTCTCCAGAAGCTGGCCAGTGTGCTTCGATGCCTGCTATCGGTCAGTCACAGCTCGCAATGCTCTGCGACCCGGCGTGAGTGTCCCTGCTTGGGGGGTCCCAGTGTGCTTTAACACCTGCTGCCTATTAGAGCTCGCCGTGCTCTGCCGGCAGGCTCTGCCAGGGGATGCGGCGTAAGGCACGCTGATCGGGTATTCTCAGTGTGCTTCGAACCCTGCAGACAATTGTTGCCGTTGGGGTCTGCGAAGCTCTGAGGTACAAAAGTCACTGCAGCAGCAGTCGCAGTGACGGTCACCTGCGGCAGACTCATCAAATCACAGGCACCAGCCAGTAGCTGCTAACGGAGGCAAACTCTTGCAGCTGTCAGGCCCACATCTGTGCCCATGCACCAGTAAGTTTGCTTGCGCGGATGTTTCCCAGACAGTGCCTGCACCTGATAAACAACACTCAGGATGCAAGTACACACTGTGCGGGGTCCGAGCTGCTCTCCTGATGAGGGCCCGGCGCACGTCCTTCCCTGCGTTCCCCTTCTCCCCCCCTCCCCGCGCTATCCTGTCGTGCCATCCCTTCGTCTGTCTTCGTCCTCCCACCTCTGCCAAAGGGCTCTTGTGCCGGTAGAAACTGCGTGGTCCAAGCTGGCAGCCATGATGTGCGCGGCCAGTCGAGCTTGGCTAAGCGGCGACAACGGCGATCTTGGGTCATAGTGTTGGGCTGCGTTGGGCCGTCTTGAGGCCTTTTAAGGGCGATCCGAACGATGTTTAGAGTATCTTATTCCCCAAACAGCTTGCTGAACGGGGTGCTGTTGTGGTAGAAACTAACTCCGGCCGAGGGAAGTCGGAGCAGAGACATCCTCACAAAAAAATTATGGTTTTGGCCGTTTCGCTTGAGACATCCTCACAACTCTTGTTTCTGAGTTGGCCAGGATTGGCCGTTTCGCCTGAGACATCCTCAAAAAGTTGCGCTCCAGGACGCCGCGCGAGAGGTGGTCCGGGCCGTTTCGCCTGAGACATCCTCAAAAAGTTGCGCTCCGGGACGCCGCGCGAGAGGTGGTCCGGGCCGTTTCGCTTGAGACATCCTCGAAACTCTGAGCCCCGAGGTGCCGTGCGAAAGGTGGTCCGGCCCGTTTCGCCTGAGACATCCTCGAGAAGTTGCGCTCCGGGACGCCGCGCGAGAGGTGGTCCAGGCCGTTTCGCCCGAGACATCCTCGAAACTTTGAGCTCTGCGATGCCTTGCGCGATGTGGTCCGGCCCATTTCGCCTGAGACATCCTCGAAACTCTGACTTCGGAGATGCCGCGAGAGGTGGTCCGGACCGTTCTGAGCTCTGAGATGCCCTGCGCGAGGTGGTCCAGCCCGTCTCGCCTGAGACATTCTCGAAACTCTGAGCTCTGCGATGCCTTGCGCGAGGTGGTCCGGCCCATGTCGCCTGAGACATCCTCGAAACTCTGACTTCGGAGATGCCGCGCGAGAGGTGGTCCGGCCCGTTTCGCCTGAGACATCCTCGAACTTCTGAGCTCTGAGATGCCCTGCGCGAGGTGGTCCGGCCCGTCTCGCCTGAGACATCCTTGCAACTCTGAGCTCTGAGATGCCGTGCGCAAGGTGGTCCGGCCTGTTTCGCACAAGACATTCTCGCAACTCTGAGCTCTCAGATGCTGCGCGAGAGGTGGTCCAGCCTGGGCGCCCAGAAGACCACATGTTACATATCCTCCATGGGACCCTGCGAGCCTCAGGAGGCCCCAGAGAGGTCCAGGAGGCCGCAGGACGCCCAGGACAGGCCCCAGGGGCCCCCAGGAGATTCCCAGGAGGCTCCCAGGAGGCCCCAGGAGGCCCTCTATCAGAACGTGTCAAGTTAATACACATCCGGTGTCGATTCGTTGATTTTTCCTGCTCTTGTGCCCCCCCCTCCATTTTGAGGGGCCCAAGCGGCCACAGGTTAGATATCCCCCCTGGGAGCCCCAAGATGCTTCAGGAAACCTCAGGTGGAGTTCAGGAGGCCACAGGAGGCCCAGGAGGAAGCTCCAGGAGGTCCCCAGGAGGCCCCAGGAGGCACCAGGAGGCCGCAGGACGCCCAGGACAGGCCCCAGGGGTCTCCAGGAGATTCCCAGGAGGCTCCCAGGAGGCCCAGGAGGCCGCCTATCAGAACGTGTCAATTTAATACACATCCGGTGTCGATTCGTTGATTTTTCCTCCTCTTATGCCCCCCCTCCATTTAGAGAGGCCCAAACGGCCACAGGTTAGATATCCCCCCTGGGAGCCCCAAGAGGCTTCAGGAAACCCCAGGTGGAGTTCACGAGGCCACAGGAGGCCCAGGAGGAAGCTCCAGGAGGTCCCCAGGAGGCCCCAGGAGGCACCAGGAAGCCCCCGCAACTCGGAGCTCTGAGACGCCGCGCTCGAGGTGGTCCGGCCCGTTTCGCCTGAGACTTCCTCGCAGCACGTTTCGCCAGAGACATCGTCGCAACTCTGGGGTCTGAGATGCCGCGCGCGAGGTGGTCCAGCCCGTTACGCTGGAGACATCCTCGCAACTCTGGGCTCCGAGATGCCTTTCGGGATGAAGAGGAGGTGGACGAGGAGGAGGAGGAGATGAGGGGGGTCTCTATATATTGAACTACGTACTGAACAAAAAAAACGACAAACGAACTGATTTTCCTGAATGCTGAAATCCCTGTTTTATCGGCAAACAACGCGACATGAAGAACCATGCCCACCCTTCTCGAACAACGACAAACAAACTCGCATTTCGATGTGAACTACTCGACTCAAACGACGAACAACACATACAACAACCAACATTTCGGGATGAACAAAAGACTGGAGAAAATAATAACACTTCTACGCTAACATGCGAACTTTGGATGAATCAATTCCTGAACGAATCCGCGAAACCAATCCACAATTTCTGAAATTGATCGGGGCCGATGGGGCCCCACGCGCATTCCTTTCGAAATGCTTGTGCTTTACCTCTTGGATTCGATTCGGTCTCCGAGCCGGATCGCCAGACGAAACAAAATGCAAAAATCCCAAATCCAGAGAACTGGTTAAAAAAAACAATGTGTTTTCCAATTGGATAGGGGCCGATGGGGCCCCACGCGCATTCGTTCCAAAATGTTGGCATTTTACCTCTTGGATTTAATGTTGACTCTGAGCCGGGATCGTCAGACGAAACAAATAAGATGTACGAAAATCCCCAGTCCAGAGGACCGGTCAAAAAGCCATTGGTATTCCAATAGGAATCGGGGCCGATGGGGCCCCACGCGCATTCCTTCCAAAATGTTGGTGCTTTACCTCAGGTCAAGTGGTGGCCGCGACGAACGACGGCATGAATCTGGATGACTTACCCACTTGCGCCGCGCGGTGGACGAACGACGGAGCGAACCTGGCGCTACTTACCTACTTGTAGCCGGTTAAACCCCTCTCATAGGAGGAGGAGGAGGAGGAGGAGGAGGAGGAGGAGGAGGAGGAGGAGATGGACGGGAGAAGGAGGAGGCGGATGATGTGCATGAGGGAGCAGGCAGGAGGAGGGGGAGGCCCCAGAGAGCTTCAGGAGGCCGCAGGACGCCCAGGACAGGCCCCAAGGGGTCCGCAGGAGATTCCCAGGAGGCTCCCAGGAAGCCCCAGGAGGCCCTCTATCAGAACGTGTCAAGTTAATTCCCTTCCGGTGTCGATTTGTTGATTGTTCCTGCTCTTGTGGCCCCCCTGTATTTTGAGGGGCCCAAGCGGCCACAGGTTAGATATCCCCCCTGGGAGCCCCAAGACGCTTCAGGAAACCCCACGTGGAGTTCAGGAGGCCACAGGAGGCCCAGGATGAAGCCCCAGGAGGTCCCCAGGAGGCCCCAGGAGGCACCAGGAGGCCCCCGCAACTCGGAGCTCTGAGACGCCGCGCTCGAGCTGGTCCGGCCCGTTTCGCCTGAGACTTCCTCGCAGCACGTTTCGCCAGAGACATCGTCGCAACTCTGGGGTCTGAAATGCCGCGCGCGAGGTGGTCCAGCCCGTTACGCTGGAGACATCCTCGCAACTCTGGGCTCCGAGATGCCTTTCGGGATGAAGAGGAGGTGGACGAGGAGGAGGAGGAGGAGGAGGAGGAGGAGGCATGTTTTAACATGCCATGCCAGCCCGCACTGGACGGGCACGCAATCGACCTTGGAAACCGCAGTGGGTCTAAAAACCCTGTTTGGGGATACTGCACTCCGGCTATAATTTTGTTTGAGTATACCCCTCGCGAACTCGCAATGTTGGGCAACAGCGATGTCGACAACATCTCATTTGTGTGAGGATGTCTCTAGCGTCATCGCCTTTTTGACTGAAAGGAAGGCGTGCTCGAGCCGTCTTGTTGGGTTATGTTGGGTCGTCGCGAGGTCTTCCAAAAGAGCGATCCCAAAACATTTCAGTCTTTGCGGATGCCCCCCCCCCCGGAGAGGTCGCCATGGGGCCCATAGGGGGGGGGGGCCCATGGGAGCGGGGAGGCC